GGGAGAGAGGGAGGGAGGGAGAGGGAGCTGGCACTAAGGAACGCTGGGAGCCATCAGTCTCAGGCCTTCAAAGCCAGGCTGGTGAGGAGCCAGCCCATCTCTGCCATGTCCCTGGGCAAACCTTCTGGTGCCCAGCTGGCATACTGGGCAAGGGCCAGGTGCCTCTGCCCTGCAGCTGAACAGCCCACCTTGTGGAAGAGACTGCCTTCCCAACCTCTCTGCCCTTCAGGTGCCCCGGGTCTTTTTATCAGAATAACAGTAGAAGGGACCTTGGAGGTCTTCTAGTCCAACCCCCTGCTCAAGCAGGAGGCCCTCTACCTTTTCAGACAGATGGAAACGCCCACATCTGCTGGAGGGAAGCTGTTCCCCTGGGTAACTGAGCTCTCTGCTAGGAAATTCCTCCTGGGTGAGGAGTTCCTACCCGTTCCTTCTTGTTCTGCCCTCAGGGGCTTTGGAGAATAGGGTGACACCCCCCCCCTCTTCTTCATGGCAGCCCTTCGAATAGGTTTTGGGACCCCCAAATTCTCCACCCGCTGTAGCCGAGGCTTCCTTCTGGAGAGGCCGTCTGGAGGAAGAGCCGAGCCTGGCTGGCTTTCTGTGGGCTGCCTGCCGACATCTGGGCTAATGGAACCCAGATGTTGAGGCTCACTCAAACCCAGTGGGACTCCAGGGGGAAAATCTGGAGACTCTGGCCTGGTGGTGGCAGTGGGGGCCAAACCAGAATTCCAGGCCTGCCTTCCCTGCCCCGAGAGAAGCCCCCGCGGAGCAACCCGATCTGCCACAAGGGCCTATTTTGGGCCGCGTCTCTCTCCCCCCCCACCCCCGGATTTCCAGGCAGCTCCTCCTCCTCCTCCTGCCGGGAGACGCAGCACCAGAGTTAATTGGAAGCTTGTGCAGATCGGCTGCCCCAGGACGGGCTCCCGTAATTGCAGGCTTCTGCCGTTTCCACATAATTCTGGTGGCGCCAGCCTGGAGAGCTTTGGCTACGGTTTACAGTTCGTCCCTGGCGGCCAGATGTTAGCCAGAAATCGGGCAACCTGCTCCCTGGGCCAGAAAAGCCCCCGACAGCCGGAAAACGGGGCCTGTGCCCCCCCCTCCAACACTGCCTGGCCTAGGAAGCAGCAAGAGGTCTCAAGGGTGGGTTGCTCAGGGCTTCCCAGGGAACCCCCCCACCCAGAACCCCAACACAGCAGAGTTCAGCCCCCCACGCCCCCCCCGGGGGCCCAATTTAGCCCATGCAAACGTTCCTGCACTTTGCAACCTGCCTCCCCCCCCCCCACGGCTGCCTGGAGTGGAGCCCTGGGTCGTGTCCGCAGAGTCCAGTACGGAGGAAGTGCAGGGACCCCTAAGGTCAAGGCCTTGGAGGGCCACCGGGTGGAATGAAGCTCCAGGGGCCCCTTGGACACAGCTGGGGCTGAAGGGAGGCAGAGGTGGGACACTCCGTCTCCCGCATCGAGAAAAGCCGGCAAGACGAAGGAAACGTGGAATTCCGAAATCCCGCCCCCCCGTGGGTTTATTTCGTCGCTTGCTGCTCAGAGGGAGAGGAAGGGGCTTAAGCGGCCGACGGGAAGAGCACAAAGGCCACGTGGGGCACAAGCGACGTTCAACACCCCCTGCTCAGCCGCTGGAACAAAACTGAATACGGTTCCACTAAGTTTAAAGGTTTATTTACAACTTAACGGCATTGAAACCGAAGGGAGGAATAAGAGTCCCGGAGGCCCCCATGGAAAGCAGCCTTCTCTCTCTCTCTCTCTGCTCCCCGGGGGGCCCAAAGCACCCACCCCCGGCCTCTCTTGGGCCCACAGGCGCCGAGGGCGGAGGGGGCTCTTCCCAAAGTGGGCAAAACAGGCGGTTGGCCATTGCTGTGGGCAGGAGGCTCCCACCACCTCGCCTGTTTTTGGTTGGCTTCCCAGGGGAAAGCTTGGGGTCCACTCCCGCCCCCAGTTGAGGAGGAAGAGCCGAGCTTCGGGCCCAGGGTCCCCCCTGGAGAAGAGCCGCTCAAGAGGGGGCTGCTTGCAAGAACCGCCAAGCAGCCAGTGGGCGCAACTCTGCCAGGCGGGGAGGCGGGAGGAGCCTAAAGGAGGAAGCGTGGAGGCGCCTGGCCCGAAGATGCCCACACGGGCCGTAGGGTGAGGGGAACCCGGGGAAAGGGGCAGAGCCTGACCCAGAGGGGCTTCTTCCAGAAGGCAACTGGGCCCCCTGGGTTCCTCTTCTCGTCCCAGAAGACGGAGGGAGAACTGACGAAGCTTCTTGGCTGAGAAGGGGAACAAAAGGCAAGAAAGCCCAGCTGCCTCTCGGAAGAGGCCCCCTGGGACAAGTGTGGCCTGGAGGGCGGAGACCCTTCCCAGACGGGGCCTCAGTCAGGGCCTTTGCCCAAGGATTTCTTCAGAGAGCTCCCCCTGGCCGCCCCTCTCGCCTTGCAGGAGGGACTCTGTCGTCCGTCTGTCTGTCTGTCTGTCCGTCCCTCCTCCTCCTCCCTCTGCCCCCACAGGTCCCGCCATGAAAGCCCTGGTGGTCCTCCTGGGGCTGGCCGCCCTGGCCGTCTCCTGCCAAAGCCAAGACGTCAGCCCTGCAAGCAGCCCCCAGGTCAGTTGGGCCACCCCCACCCGGACTGCATGGAGCGGCCTTCGGTTCAGGCTGGGGGTGGCTGGGTGGCCTTGAGGGATTCCCACTCACCAGGCACCCAGGGGTGGGCCACTTCACAGGCTGCCCTGACTCCCCCAGCAGAAAGAAAGCCCCCCTCCCCGGGGCTGCTGTGATGGGGCCACCCTAAGCGAGCGCCCTGCCCCTCTCTTAAAGGAGCCGGAGCCCCCCAGGGAAGCTGGGCAGGAGGAGGAGGAGGAGGATCCCTTCTACAGGAGCCCCGTCAACAAACTGGCCGCCGCTGTCTCAAACTTTGGCTATGCCCTCTTTCGCCAGCAGTCCGGCCAGAGCCCCTCGGCCAACGTCCTGCTCTCCCCCTTCAGCCTCGCCACAGCCCTCTCGGCCCTCTCGCTGGGTGAGCTGCCCTCCGGTGGTGCTGCCCGGGGCCAAGATCGCCCCCCGAGGGGACCCTAACAGGCTGCCCCCCTCCCTCTCTCCCTCTGTGTGGCCGGCAGGTGCGGGTGAACGGACGGAGGACGTGATCTCGCGGGCCCTTTTCTACGACACGCTGGACAAGGCCAACCTGCACAGCACCTACAAGGGGCTCCTGGGCAGCATCGGTGCCCCCAGCAAGGGTCTGAAGAGCGTCTCCCGCCTGGTGATGGAGAGAAGTAAAGCTGCTGGGCCTCCGGGGGTGGGGGCTGGGAGGGTGGGCGCCACAACTCGGCCCCTGGCAGAAGAGCCCCCCCCCCGGGGGCCCCGAGGCCTCAACCGGGCGCTCTCTCTCCCCGCTCAGAGTTGAGGATGAGAATGGCCTTTGTGAACGAGCTGGAGAAATCCTATGGCTTCCGGCCGCGGGTGCTCAGCGGAAACGCCCGGGCAGATCTGCAGGAGATCAACCAGTGGGTGCAGCAGCGGACGGGGGGGAAAGTCGTCCGATTCCTGGGGGAGATCCCCGTTGGGCTCAGCATCCTCCTGCTGGGGGCCGCCTCTTTCAAAGGTACGCCCGCCCGCCTGGGGAAGGCCGGAGGGGGGGAGGGGAAGGAGGCGTCGTCCGAAGGGAGAGCGTCCTCCACTCGGCCTTTCCTTCCCCTCCGGCCACAGGGCAGTGGGCCACCAGGTTTGACCCCAAGCTGACCAAGCTTCAGGATTTCCACCTGGAGGAAGGGCGGAGCACTCGGGTGCCCATGATGTCGGCCCCCAGAGCCATCCTGAAATACGGCTTTGACTCTGAGCTCAGCTGCAAGGTCAGCGGACGGGAGGGGAGGATGGGACCTGGGAAACACGGCTGCCTGGGGGCTTCTCTGCCCACTTTGCCCCTTCCCACAGCAACCCTGGGACTCCTCAGCCCAGCAAACAGCTGTGTCTGGGGCAGCCACCTGCTCCGATGACATCTGGAGCTTGGGCACCCCCTGCAGCGCAGCCCCTCCCTCAGTGGGGAGCCTGCCCACTGGAGGGGCAGCAACTAAGCCCCCCCAACCGAGAGGGGCCGGCACCCTCCCCTTCCCCTCCTGGGGGTGCCAAGCCGGCTCCTCCCCCGCCCACTCCCCCTTCCGCTTGTAGATCGCTCAGCTGCCCCTGGCCGGAGGGCTCAGCATCATGTTCTTCCTGCCCGAGACCCTCACCCAGAACTTCACCCTCATCGAGGAGAGCCTGACCGCCGAGTTCGTCCACGACATCGACAAGCAGCTCAAGACCGTCCAGGCTGCGCTGAGCGTTCCGCGGCTGAGGCTGGTGACCGAGACGAAGCTGGGGGAGGCGCTTAAGGAAATGAGTACGTGTCCCGTGGGGGTCCTTTGGCCGGGGGGGGGTGTTCCTCCGTGGGTCTGGCCACAGGCTGGTCCTTCCACGGGATGAGGGGGTCCGCGAACGGCTGCTCTTCACCACAGGGGCCACGGCAATGTTTGAGAGCCATTCGTCCCTGGGGGAGAGGGGGACTGAACAGAGGCTCCCTCCTGGCCGTGGCAGGGAACACCAGTCTGCCTCCGGGCCTTGGCTGGGGGGAGGGGAGAGGCGGCAACCGGGTGGTAACGCCCCTTCCTGGTCCGCAGGGCTCCAGGCTCTCTTCTCCACGCCGAACCTGGGCAAGATCTCCGCCAAGGCCCTCCGGCTCTCTCACGCGCACCACAAGGTGGCCTTGGAGCTGGGGGAAGACGGGGCCAGCGCCGTGTTTCCCTCGGAGACGGAAGCCGCTCGGCTGAACTTCCCCATCGTCTACACCCTGGAGAGGCCCTTCCTCTTTGTGCTCTACGACAACGACACCGGCACCCTCCTCTTCATCGGGAAGATCCTCGACCCTCAGCAGGCCTAGAGCGCTCCCGGGGCCCCCCAGGCGCAGGAGCAAAGGGCCGGGGGTGTCCTTGACTGTGTCCCGCAGCTGGTTTTGCTTCCGTGGTCCAATAAAGGAGCTTCTGCCTTAAGAGCCTCCCAAGCGGCTTCTTCGACCTCCGGCCGATGGGGGAGAAACGATGGGGGAGAAAGAGCGGAGGGGGGGAGAGAAGAACGGAAAGGCTCTTCCCGTCACCCGTCAAGGCCCCCTCAGCCGAGTCAACAACCACAGCAGCCGCTTTTCCTCCCGGCCAGTGGCGCCCTGAGTCTGGCACAGATCTGAGTCTGGCATCCTGGCAAGGCTTCGTGGGTGGTGAGGCCGATGGATCCGCAGAAGATCTTGGTCCCTCGCGGGTCCGTCAGCCAGCCCGAGGCCAAGGCGGCCCCCCTCTGCACACGGTCTGGCGGCTTCTTGCTTTGGCCCCTTAGAGGGCGGCCGGAGGGGGGTTTCCAAGGCCCACTGGGGCATCCTCTCCCAGCAGCTGGGCTGCTGCTGCTGCTGCTGCTGCTGTGGGGGCGGTTGGGAGCAGCCCCTCCAGGCAGGTCCTCATCTCTCGCAGCTCCTGCAGCTGATCGCTCTCTGTGCCCAGGTGCACCCGTAAAATTGCCTCGGCCCTCCAGACGGCCTGCAGGGCTTCGGAGGCCAAGCGCCTGGCAGAGAGAGAAAAGGTTAACAGAGAGAAACCCCCGGAGCCCCCCCCTCCCCTGCACCCGATGGGACCCCCAGGGCAGGCACCAGGGAGGCCCCCCCACCACCAGGCCTCAACCAGGGCTGCACCTGGCCGGTGGGGGCTGATTTCACATTTGGGGGGGTGGGGGAGCTCAGAAGGGAGGTGGGGATGGGCCGGGAAGGAGCATCACAGCCAGGGCCCAGTCCTCAGATGGCCGAATTCCCCTTTGGACCTTTGCAATGTAAACAGTCAAGGGAGGCTCCCCTGCCACAGTCTGAACAGCCAGTTCCCGGAGAGCTCGGGTTTCAAGGAGGGACGGAGGGAGGGCCAGCTCAGCCCCCCCCCCCCAAGGCAGGAGCCAGGAAGGGACGGGGGAAGCGTGGGGGAGGGGGGCGGAGTGGGGAGGGAATGGGTCCTTCCCCAGCTGTCTTCTCTTCCCGAACCCCCCAATGTAAACCCACAGCCCCAGAAGCCAGCCAGGGGGAGCCCCTCCCCAAGGGCCGGGGAGGGGGCAGCGTGCTCACCCATTGAAGAGGACCTGGGCCAGTTTGAAGACTTCCTGGCCAGCTTCCATGCTGGCACTGCCGAAATGGGCCTCCACGGCCTGGATGCTCCTGCGCAGGTGCCCGGCCGCCTCCTGCCACCTGCCTGGGCCAAAGGAAAGGGAGGCCCTGAGCCAAGCAGGGGGACGGGGGGGGGGTCCTACTTCCTTACTCAAAGGGTTGGTTACACAGCCAGCCAAAGGGACTCCGACCCCCAGGGGGTCCTGGACCTGCCTCCCTTCCTTTAGCCCAGCCATCTGAAGCTACGAAGACATTGGAAAAAGGGACTTCCGACCAATCCTGACACTTACGACCGTCACGGCATCCTTAGTCACAGGATGGAAGTCTGGGCAACAGGCGTGTACTTACCATGCTCGGAGCATCTCCCGGGATCGTCTGGCTGCCATTTGCCCCCTTCCTAAATTGGCTTCCCGCAGGCTAGTTAATGGGGCAAGCGGGATCCGCTTAATTACCCCACGATTCACTTAACAGCCGAAAATATTAAGTGACCTGCTTAACATCCACGGCAAAACCGTTCGTGAAATCTGGCGGCCCATTTGAGCAGCCGCCTTGTTTAGCCACCAAAACTCCCACCCCACGGGCGGTGGCAAGTGAAGGGCTCCCCCCCGGCAGCCTTGGGGAGGAGCGGAGGGAGCCCGGGGGGCCTCGTACCTGTTGCCGCGTGCACCTGGGCCAGGCGGTCCTCGATCTCGCCCCTCCTCAGGTGCGCTGGAGACAGGAAGCTCTCGGCATCCAGCCGGCATTTCTGCAGCAGCTGCAGGGCCTGACCTGGAAGGGGAGCAGAGCCTGAGTGGCCGTCCCGGCCAGCGGTCATCCCAAGAGGCTGCCAGCCAGGGACGCCCCAATCTGGGCTGGGCAGTGGGAAGGGCTCCCCAGCCTCCACGGGGCAGCCGGACGGGCCCGGGGCAAAAGGTCTCCGGTTATGCCAAATGCCCTGAGTCAAAAGGGGGGAGGGGGAGAAAGACGCACCCATCTCCATTCCTTCCCTCGGCCCGTCTATGACATCAGCTGGCGGGGGGGCTGTCCCCCACCTTCTCCCCTGCCCATCCCTCACTGCCACCCAGCCTTCCCATGGGGCCTGCGTGGGAAACTGAAGCTCTTCTGGTGCCCCTGTTTAGCGTGCTGGGAATAGAACTCGTCCCGGGCAGAATTCAAAGGGGGTGGAGAGACCCTGGAAGGGAGGCCTTGCAGGCAGAGCAGGAGGTCCGTGGCTGAAGGCTGCTCCCCTTACGGCTCTTGGGAGAGGAGGAGGGGCACGGAGCACGGCCATTCCCAGGGCAGGGAGCTCCGGGGGCCACCCAGGGTCTGTGTGTGCGTGTTTGAGGGGGTGTGCTGTCCCATGATCTCCCCAGGATGATAACTCTGCCCTTCCCACCTGTTTGGGGAAAGCCCCCCCACCCCAGAGAGCGAGAGGGTTGCAAGGCCCTCCTTTAACCACTCTGAAAACAGCCCCCCCTCCTCCCTAGGAGACGCCATGGGTGGGGGGCTGGGGAGGGGGCTCCAGGCTTCCCGGCTGGGCGAGAGCCGAAGGGTCCCCTGGAAGACTCTGCAGGAGGCAGGACGTTGCGAGGGGCCCGGAGGCTGAAGGCAAAGAGCTGCCCCTGCAGAGGCCCAAGGCGACCCCCCCCACACCGGCAGAGGGAAGCAAGGGGGGGGGGGGCTCTGAAGGAAAAATGTTCTCCACCCCCTGCAAGGTGAGGGGCGGCTGCTGCGTGCAGAAACTCTGGCAAAGGAGGCTAACCTGGTACCTGGGGGCAGCAGGTGCAACCCAGGCGTTTCCGTTGGAAGCAGCTGCCTGGGCACGCTGGCACAGCCACCCCTGCCCACCCACAAGAGCCCTGGCTCGGCTGGCCACTGCTGACACGTCTGCCCTCGGCCCCTCTGGACACTGCACCCTCCCAGGCATTCTGGACCCCAAGAGGCAGTCAGCACACGCCCAGAGAGCCCTCCCCCACCCTATGCACCACGCCTGGCCTTCCTTGGGGGAGGGGGCCCCTTTGGTTGAGAGGCTGCAGGCAGCGTTCCTGGGGCAGCCCTCCCCACTGATCCGGAGGGAGGCCCCCCAGCCTTCTTTCCCCAGGCGGTGGGGTCTCTGCTTCTCCAATGGAGTCAGGATTTGGGGGTTTTTCCTCTCACCAAAGACTCTGGAAGGCTCCCTGGCCCAGAGGGGGCGCCCGGCCCTCCCTGTTGCCTCCTGCAGCCTGGAGTGGGGCTGAGGGGCCTCTGGGGAGGCGAAGGGAGGGCTCCCCCCCTCAGATAAAGCTTTGGGCCTTTTTAAAAAAGCACTGGAGAAAGAAATCCACCGCAGCCCCCGTCACTTGCTTACGCAAATAATCCACATAAATGTTTAATAAAGCGAAGTAAATAAAATCTACGTATGACCGGCTGGTGGTGAAGGCAGCAGGATAGGTAGCTGGAAATCAGGAGCTCCTGACCAGCTTAGCTGGCAGAAGAGAACGTTTCTGGCTCAAGGTGGAACCGAGGCCTCCTTGGTGCTCTCTGAGCTTGGCAGAAGTTTTGGAGACGTTTCAGGACCCAACTAGGCAACAACATCAGTGCACTGAAGAGGTTACCCAGTTTGAAGCGCCTGCAAGGAAACCACCCAGGAGAGAGAGAGCACCAAGGACCCTCCGTTCACCTTAGGCAGGAAAGCCGGCGGGGCGACCCTCCCTCTTAGCCAACCTCACAGGGCTGTTGTGATGGGGGAGGTGGGAGAAGGAAGGAGCATTAGGGACCTTTGCTTCCTCGAGTAACTTATGAAGAGAGAGAGACACACGTGGGGCCACCTTCTCCTGGGCGCCCCGGAGCCCCTCGCGGGAATCCTTCCTGCCTGCTGAAAGGGCACCAGGACCCGGGGGGGGGAGGGAGGGGGGGACGCTCACCCGGCTGGCCGTGCTCCAGGAGCTCCTCGGCCGACTGGGTCAGGCGCTGAAGGCGGAGCAGCCGGCGGTGGAAGTCCTCCTCGGGGACCAGGCGGCCGCAGGTCTCACCTGAGCAGCGGAGGGGGCCTCTCCCCTAGAAAGACGAGGGACACATGGGGGACGGGCCCTGGCCAGGCGCTTCCGACGGCACCCAGCACGCCTGGGCTCACAGGGGGTGGGCGGGGGGGGCTTCGCAGCTGCCTCCGGGCAGACTTACCTGCATGGGCCTCTGGCAGGCCGGGCAGAGGAAGAGGGCGGCCTCGGGGGCCTCGCTGGGCTGCAGCTCCTCCAGGCAGGCCTGACAGCGGCACTCAAAGAAGTACTGAGCCAGGAGACGCCTGCGCCTCTCGGCAGCCCCCATCCGGCACCTGTGGGGCCCTGCAGGAAACAGGGAGGGGGGGAGAAGGGGATTCGGCTCAGCTGTTTTCTGGTGAAAAGCTCCTTCTCCATCTCAGCCCCCTCCCTGCGCAGCTGACCCTGGACCCCCCGCTTTCCAAAAGGCCCTGAGGGGCGGGAGGAGTGGGGGGTTTCTGGCGATGAGCCTGGGGGCCCCTGGAGGATACGGAGCCCACCAAGCGGCTGCCCTGGTTTGTGTGTGTGTGTAGATGAGGGATGATTGGGGTCTTTATTTTGTGTTTCTGTAAGCTGCCCAGAGTCGCCATGAATTGGGGGAATTGGGGAGCCACGTAAATTTCCCTCATAGATACATTGATAAATAAACGGAAGCAGGGAATAACGCCAGGAATTCCAATATTCCAATTTTAGGGCCACAGTTTGCTCCTCACCCACAATTTACCCTTAAAAATAATCAGTACCTCCTATCTCCCCCCCCCAGAGGAAAAAAATCCTATCCATTTGCCAGGTAGGAAAATCGCTCCGGGGGTGGCAGCTGCAGCATTATAACCGTCGGGACGAGGGCAGCATTTATCACCCACTG